GAGTGGTTTGGTGTGGAATGGTTCATTGTAAACACTCAGATGTCTTTACAGTGGTGGTGATAGGAACCAGGGGTCGCCATGACTACAACACAAATATAGACATTTTATTTACTATCCAAACCACCAGTGAACCTACACGAGTCTTCTGAGTTTATATATGGAATATTGATGATGGTAAAATAGTCATAAATCTGAAAATAATGTTTTCTTTGTGGACTATTTTGCCTGCATGTATCCCTCCACGATGGATGCATAACAAACAATGTTTTAGGCCAAAACTGCATCTCAAAATTATCACAAAACAAGATCTCAGGTATTGTGCAACATATTAGTAACCATTTCATGTAGTAACTTTCTGTGAGGGAGCTTTTAGAGGTGGACGTCTGGTTCCTATCACCACCACTGTGAACAATTCTGACTCAGTAAGTTTCTCTAGACTTGATCATTTCACACCAAACCATTCTGAATGACTTTGTTCACATAATAAAGCTTTAATTATGCAGAAATATGATGGAATATGATAGAAACATGATGGAATATGATAATAACATGATGGAATCCTTTAAATGAGAGCCGGTAAATGGATCCAGCAGGCATCGAGGCAAGTCATGACTTCAAGTCACAGGCTAAAAGGCCTATTACTGAAACACAATGGCTAATTAGCATTGATCATGAAGAGAAATTACTCAAAATGTCTATCTGTATGTTTGTTCGTTTATTCTGTGAGAAACAGTGAAAAGATAAATGGTCTAGCACTGGTGAATAGAATGTTCTGGTGCATAAGGCCTCATTTGCAGTAAGCTGTGAGAGGTATTAATAACTCACAGACCAGTTAGCACTGGAGCAGCAGGGAAAGCCATCGCTCTCGATCTTCCAAGCGGCTCCATGGCTAAGACGACAGGGGCTTTAGGGACCCTATGTTAGAGATAAGACTCATTTATTGCATTAAACCATGAACATGCTTGAAACTCAAAGCAATGATTCAGCAAAAATCGAATTTATATAACTCCACCCCAATCCAAAATGTAAAAGTGGTCTGATCTGCCAAATATTTTTAGTGTCTGAAGACTGCTTCTTTAGTTTTACACTGGAGCTATGAGGCTAATGGAGCAGTTCCCAGACAGAAAGCACATATCGGTCCACTAGCTTGATAAGGTGGGGACCCCACTGACTGTCTGCCACGTCTTGTCCACCCTTGGACCACCCAGATTATTATTATTGTTATTAAATTCACATAACCTTGTACTTCATGAAATCAACTTAGGCAAATATTACAAGCAATAAATGACTAGGCCTAATATAAAATGATTTTGTTGAAAAGGTTGTTGCTGATTGGTTACAGCTGTATAACCAGCTTTATTTGTGATATTGCTGTTAAAATGATGTACTGAACTGATTTACAAAGGATAACGAAAGAAAGAAATGAAGTAAAAATCAGTAAATTGGTCTGTGAGAGGAAAATGAGGGATGAAAATTGGCATTTTGTCTAATAAATTGGAATTTTGTCTAATACTCTGCTTAATCACCAGTGGAAAACGCTGTCAAAAGGCCAACAATGGCCGACTGTCCTCTTGCTATCTGGGTTAACAGCATATCCTGTAAACAGTTTGCCCAAATCATCACTCTGCGCCGAGTTGTTAAGTAATCTTAAGTAGACTTGCGTCTGTGCTTTCTGACAGTGTATGACACGCAGTTATCTTATGGATTTATTTATCTTACATACATACTAAAAACACTAGCAGCAGCCATCTTGTAGCATTAATTTTGCTTGTACTTTTGTCCATTTCCAATATCATAAAGTGTCAGAAACCACATAATCAAGTCTATTAGAGACACTGAACAGCTCCACGCGGTTTAGGATGAGTGTGATGATTTAGGCATGCGGTTTGCACAATGCTAACTGGTGGCTAGAAGCTTCCACTATTGTTAGCTATGTTAGCCTCAAAGCTCCAGTCCAAAACAAAACCTGTGGCATCAACACAGCTCTCACATTCAGTTTCATGAGGGCTAAACCTCATTTTGTTTAATGTCTGACTGAAAACTCTGGAAAACGTGTAAATAGGTGGTGACTGGCTGTTGCTTATATAGATATTTAACAGGTTTACTTCACAGTAGCAACCTAAATCTGTGACTGCTGACTAATGTCTCAGACATAAATGAAATGAGTCAGCATAGCTAGCCTAATCTCTGCACCTTTGTTGGGTGAAATTGTGTCAAACTGAGTGAAATTCAGGATTAGAAGCACACAATTTTGTTGAAAGTGATACTAAAAATGACAGGTGTCTTAACATGTTTTTCAGTATCGTTCAAAAGGCTGTTATGCTAACAGTCTTAACTAGCAGCGTCTGTCTCATGAACCCATAAACATTGTTTACATCCGTTGTTGATTTCTAATGAAATTGAAAGAATCTTTGAATTTAACATCATAAAAACTTAACATAAAATAGCACGGACAGACTGAGATTGTCTTGTTGAGCTCTATGCAGCCTGCTAATTTGCATGACCTGTACCCTCCGGCCCCGGTGTTATGGTGTCCTCATGTTCAATCTTGCTGTAAACTAGAGATTGATGTTGAACTTTAGCCAGTGAGTTTGGCAGTTTTGTTTACATGATAGTTTACAGGGAGCTGGTTGGTTTATTTACCTCCTGCCGGACTGGTTAGCTTTGGCTAGTGAGGCTAACCACCAAGCATTAAGCTCTATGCCAGTGTTGCCAAAAAAAGAGCATTTCCTTCTTTTATGAGTTCACTTACATTTTGTCAAACTGGCTCTATTTTACTTTTAATGGTGTAGAGCCATGTGTTGTTTTGTACGTTGCTCTATGCTGCTTTTGATAGTGTTTGCACTGTGCTGTCCTGTTACACACAGTCTTGTAAGTTGGAGGCAGGTTTTTTGGAGCCACTGTGGCTCGACGAATCATTGTGCTCCCCCTCACCAGAGCGAAAATGAATCTGATGAATCATTTGATTCACTTGAACCGTTTGAAGGAATCGGTTCGGTAAATTGAATCGAACTGCCCATCTTTAATTGGCAAGTGAGTTTGCTAAACTGAATCAAACCTACCATCACTAACTGGTAAAAGATTATGGTAAACTGAATTTGTCTGCCCAGCACCAGTTGGTACATTGGACTGTAAACTGTAAAGACCTTTCTGTCACAATCTCTACACCGGAGTCATGTGAAGGCCAGTAGTCAGTCCAAAAAAAGCCATGGTGCTTTAGAAAAGCAAGTTGGCCCTCAGTGGATGAAAAGTGCTGACATGGATCTAACAGATCTGTAGATTTGGTAAAAATACAAATTAATAATAATAAAATGAATGTAAATTTTAGCGCATTTGATACACCCTGGGTTGCATTCAGTGTAATTACTGGTAAATATAAAACAACATATATAAAAAATTAATATACCCTTCTGAAATATGTTAATATTATCAATGTTTTCATTTGGATTGCCCAGTTTAAGCCCAAATATGTTTTTCAGTTGGGCAGCCTAACTAGGCCCCAGTAACAAGCCCACTCAAAGCCCATGCTCACCTGGAGCCCAACTAACCAGGTTCAAACCAGGTGGGTCCCTCATGGGTGTGTCGGCTGGGAAACTTTAGTCTGTTCATAGCTCTTGTTGGTCTCTTAATCACTAAACCCTGCATTAGAAAATCTAGATCACTATATAGAACACTATTGCAGTTTCTCAACTCCGGTCCTGGAGGCCCACTGTCCTGCACATTGTCGTGCTTTTCCTGCTTTAACACGGCTACTTTAACTCAATAACAGGCTGTTAATGAGCTGATTATTTGGATAAGGAGTGTTGGGAGCTGGGAAAACACCAAAAAGTGCAGGGCTGTGGACCTCCGGGACCAGGGCTGGGAAACATTGCCCTAGGGTACACTGGTTGTACACTACTTATTATGGTGCATAGTGGGATTGCTCAAATACACTGGTGCCCTGTCAGGTCATGCAATGGTCCCCTAATCATTATACCCTACATTCAAAAACCTGGATCATTCAATGGAGCTTCAATGCATTTTCACTGGCACTGTGGTCACCATACCAACATTTGCATGGCTTCGTGCCGCTGTCGGCTGTGAACCACTATGAGATGCAGAATGGCAATTTATTCAAGCATGTGAATGTGGCATCATAAGTGATTCTGATTACAGGCAACAGAGTTTGTGATGGTAGTAAACCATCTCAGACACTAACATTATACGGGTTTGCTCATTACTTACAAACAACACAGTGCATTATGGGTAACCCCTATGTGCTAGGGTAGATCTGTTGTACACTTATTGCGGTGCATTGTGGGATTGTTTGAGTACACTGGAACTTCTGTGTACTCTGTGTTTTCAGACACCACTACAGAATGGACAACCCCCCAAAATAATGCACTATACAGTGAACAGGGCAGTTTTGGACACAGCTTATGTTTTTGGAACTACTACAGAATGGAGGACCCCCAAAATAGTGCACTATATAGTGAATAGGACACAGTTTCAGGCACAGTTTATGTTTTCAGACACCACTACAGAGTGGAAGACCCCCAAAATAGTGCACTATATAGTGAATAGGGCACAGTTTCAGGCACAGTTTATGTTTTCAGACACCACTACAGAGTGGAAGACCCCCAAAATAGTGCACTATATAGTGAATAGTGCACAGTTTTGGGCACAGTTTATGTTTTCAGACACCACTACAGAGTGGAAGACACCCAAAATAGTGCACTATATAGTGAATAGGGAAGTTTTGGACACAGCTTACGTTTCTGGAACCACTACAGAATGGAGGACCCCCAAAATACTGCACTATATAGTAAATAGGGCAGTTTCGGACGCAGCCTAGGTTGTTTGGACACCACTACAGCATGGCAGAAGCCCAAAATAGTGCACTATATAGTAAATAGAGCTATCGAACATGAATCAATTGAATCGTTCGATTCATTGAACCGGAGGCTTCCAAAGAGTCGGTTCGGTAACTGAATCTATCTCCCCATCGCTGCTGTCCGCGCTCGCTGTAAGCTCGGCCACTGTGAGCCGTGCGGAGGGCGGGGGAGCCGGACTCCCTCATCCAGCGCTTCGGGGAGAAATAAGTCCCAGCGAAAGGACGACAAGTGTGGAAATGGATTCGACAGATCTGTTTTTGACTCTGACAAAACAGCTCGATTACTTTTTCGATCGGGCGACTTTGGAGTAACAAAAGGAAAACGGTCGGTGTGGAAATCTCGGAAGTCTGGTTAAACTTTCTGACTGGAGTTTTTGCTCTAAAACAAATATACAAACAAACAAACAAACAAAAAAAAACAACAACAACCAAACCGCTCGCGAGGCACCGCTTTTCCCGCTTTTCTGTGGACGCAGTGGATCGGAGCAAATCTCTATTGTAATGTTAAAAAGAAGTCGGGAGAGGGAAAAGGCGGCTGACGGACGATCTTTTAAATGAAGTTTAACTCCGACTCTGTCCCAAGTCCACTTTCTGCTGTCTTTTAACTCCACTTCTTCCTCCTGTGAGGTACAAAATGAGGGAAAGGTGCAGTTCTCCACCTCGCTTCGTGACGATGCTAAGCAACGGCTGATCAGGGTCGAGGTGGACGGGTCCGTTTTTAGCATGGGCTGTTTTTAAAAGCTGAAAAACACAAAAAAAGAAGCGGAAAAAGGGGACACAGTGGGTAACGTTAGCAGGACACCCTTCCTTTCCAGTAACCCGGGACCAGCCTGCTATCAGCCCCCACCGTTCCCCCCTGAGAGAGGGGCTGTAGTGGCTAGCATGGCTAGCAGCCCCTCAGGCAGCCGCAGGGACTCGGTGCTGGTCGAAGCTCGGCTCCAGGGCGGAGCGCCGTGGGGCTTCACCCTCAAAGGTGGCCTCGAACACGGAGAACCCTTAATCATCTCAAAGGTAGGCTGGACGACGGAGAAATACAGCTCTCTCCCTTTTTCTGTTTCTGTTTCTGTTTCCCCCCTTTCCATCCTCTCTCCTCTCTCCTGAGCCACGGTTAGCTAACCTGACTCTGAAGTGCTGAAACAAGTGAAAAAGTACGAGGATCAAATTGGCGAATTTACCGTTCCACCTTAAATGGTGCAGCAGTTACATTCTGGCGCCTCACCAAAAAAGTAGGAGTGTCTATCAGAGTGGACAGTGAGTAGCCACGGTGTTTTAAAACGTTTTGGTCCCCGTTCCACCTTAAATGGTGCAGCAGTTACATCCTGGCGCCTCATGTAACTGCTGCACCATTTAAGGTGGAACGGGAAAATTCGAACAAGAAGCTGACTTCAGCTTCGTGTGAAAAAGTGCGTTGTGTTGATGTATAAAGTGCCTGAAAAGGGGACAAAAGGGTAGCTTTGAATAAAAAGGGGGGCAACATAAACATTAATCCTCTTCATGTGCATGTTTTACACGGTAAAGTCAGGGTCAGTCTGTACTTAGACTCACTGTCCATTCTATCAGCTCCACTGACCATATAGGAGCACCTGTAGTTCTACAGTTACAGACTGGAGTCCATCTGTTTCTCTGAATACTCGGTTACCCTGTTCTTCAGTGGTCAGGACCCCCATGGACCCCCACAGAGCAGGTACTATTTGGGTGGTGAGTCATTCTCAGCAGTGACACTGACGTGGTGGTGGTGTGTTAGTGTGTGTTGTGCTGGTCTGAGTGGATCAGACACAGCAGTGCTGCTGGAGTTTTTAAACACTGTGTCCACTCACTGTCCACTCTATTAGACACTCCTACCTTGTCAGTCCACCTTGTAGATGTAAAGTCAGAGACGATAGCTCATCTGCTGCTGCACAGTTTGTGTTGGTCATCCTCTAGTCCTTCATCAGTGGTCACAGGACACTGCCCACAGGACGCTGTTGACTGGGTGTTTTTGGTTCTTAGTTCAGCAGCGACACTGAGGCGTTTAAAAACTCACTGCTGTGTCTGATCCACTCAGACCAGCATAACACACCACCACATCCTCACCTTCCGCTCCCATGATGATGTGTTTGCAATCCCCACCGCCTCCCCATCTCCACCCTGTTCCTCAGTCCTACATCAGTCCTACTACAGCTATGAGGGGGTCTGGCCTTCTAGCTACAGACAGAAGGTGCCCAGAACTCCAGCCCAAGTTCTCAGAGTTCTCCCCCCTCCCTCAGTCAGTCTTCCCTCATACTACCACCACCATGTTGAAGGCACAGTCTGAACTCATAAACAGTAGTTGAGCATGGCTTTAGGTTACTCTACCAGTATCCCTGTAGAAATCTTCAATGTGACGCCCCTGATGTACTAATGTTCTAGACGTTTCTGCCTGAATTCATGTGTCACACTAAGAACCAAAAACACCCAGCCAACAGCGTCCTGTGGGCAGCGTCCTGTGACCACTGATGAAGGACTAGAGGATGACCAACACAAACTGTGCAGCAGCAGATGAGCTATCGTCTCTGACTTTACATCTACAAGGTGGATCGACAAGGTAGGAGAGTCTAATGGAGTGGACAGTGAGTGGACACAGTGTTTAAAAACTCCAGCAGCACTGCTGTGTCTGATCCACTCAGACCAGTGCAACACATACTAACACACCACCACCACGTCAGTGTTACTGCTGAGAATGATCCACCACCCAAACAATACTTGCTCTGTGGGGGGTCCTGAGGGGTCCTGACCACTGGAGTATGCAGAGAAACAGATGGACTCCAGTCTGTAACTGTAGAACTACAAAGTGCTCCTATATAGTAAGTGGAGCTGATAAAGTGGACAATGAGTGTTGATACAAGAAGGTGGTTTAATGTTATGGCTGAAGTTTGAACCACTGACCCTGAGTTATTTATCAAACTGATAAAAAATGTCTGCATAATTCAACTGTTGAGATGTGAACAAAGTCATTCATAGTGGTTTAATGTGAAATGGTTCACTGCAGAGGAGCAGAACGGAGCGTTTCACACCAAACCGCTCTGAATGACCCTGTTCACATCTGAATGATTAAATCATGCAGAAACTTTGAGGACTGAGAGAAATAGAATCTGCTTTTTTCCCCTCAGTTTTCTGTGAGTCATTCACATTAAGTTTCTTATTCCTTTTTTGGGTTTAATTTCATTCTGCTGTGTTGGTTTAGTTCCTGGACTGCTCTGCTGTTGCTCATACCTTTCACTTTCAAACATTTTAGTTTAGACCCAAAGGTCCCAACAAAAGAAGGAAGAGAAGAATAGCTCATAACAAACAGCAGTTCCTGGGGCTGAAGGATGCTGCATATACTAAGACGTTCCACTGCAATTCTATAGGGCACTGGGTCTCAAACCAGCCCTCAGGGACCCCCAGACAGTCCACATTTTTTCTCAATCCCACTGTGGACTGTCTGGGGCTGAGTATTTGAGGGGTTTTTGGAGCTGCTACTCCCTTATTTAGGTTAGTTTCTTGGCTCCCACCTTTACGTCTAACAGTAACAGTAACAGCTAAATGTAGTGATGTTATAACTGAAGTATTGGGGGAGGAGCATGGCTGAAACCCCTCCTTCTTCAAGTCGAACGCCCTATAAATTCACATCCTCACCTTCCGCTCCCGTGTTAATGTGTTTGCAATCCCCACCGCCTCCCCATCTCCTCCCTGTTCCTCAGTCCTACATCAGTCCTACTACAGCTATGAGGGGTTCTGGCCTTCTAGCTACAGACAGAAGCTGCCCAGAACTCCAGCCCAAGTTCTCAGAGTTCTCCCCCCTCCCTCAGTCAGTCTTCCCTCATACTACCACCGCCATGTTGAAGGCACAGTCTGAACTCATAAACAGTAGTTGAGCATGGCTTTAGGTTACTCTACCAGTATCCCTGTAGAAATCTTCAATGTGACGCCCCTGATGTACTAATGTTCTAGACGTTTCTGCCTGAATTCATGTGTCACACGCACTTCCTAATGAAACTGAAGGCCACATGCATCCAGATCCTAATTGAGGACTGCAAGGTCAGATTCTTGGTGTGGCGTCCAGACTAGCGTGAGTAACCGAGTTTGACCATTTACATTCACAGAAACTCACTCTGCATTACAGTCACAAATCACATATAGGGCTCAGGGCGGCACAACGAACAAATCTGGTATGAACTTGATTAACCTTTTGGTAGCTACTAGAAGGTTCTGCTGGAAGCCAAAAGATTGGAGCTGTTTCCATTTAGTTCTTGTGGTTTTGCAGTCTTTTTGCACTGGATCTAAAGCATTTTGCCTGGCATGGAGAATTCTTAGCCACTTGTGCGCTGGAAAAAAGTCTAGAACTTCAGTTGATTAGGGGCTGGATGTCTTTGATACGGCTTTAACTGTATGTCATTATGGTTTTTGGGGAAAGATAAGAGGAAAGCCTCCTTTGAGATTCAGGGGTTTTGACATACGAAAAGAGTCTGTAAAAGTTTTTACAAGCGTTCGAGAACTTTGTGGGTGGTGCAGCTCCAGTCAGACACATTTTACCTCTTAAAGCTCCTACTTGGCTCCACTGAGCGCCGAGCACTGCAGGGGTTACAGACATTTTCACGGTATGATAACCTAGTCAACAGATATTACGGTTTTACGGTGTCACAGTAAGTCAACAATTGTAAAACGCACAGTGTAAAAATTGGTTTGATGTTTTGGCATTAAGTTATCAGAACAATGGAAAATGTTGTCACCTTTGTGCTCTTGAGTGTGTGTAGATTCTGTTCTTACCTAAGAACAAATCCCACATAAGAAAACACTGGTGAATATCAGAGTCTTTGTAAAACTGCATAAGTGGGTTTTAAGAAGAAATGTCTTCTTAAAAATAGGTGCTGAATGAGACCCGATAATCTGTTTTACATTCTGTTAACTTTTTTATTTCAAGTGCAGTGAGCTCAAACTTTTAATGCAACCAAGTTGCATACTTTTGTAAGTTAAAACATTGAATCATTTTTTACAATGCAGAAGCTAAAATACATTTTTTATAGCTTATAAACCACTCACACATGCACAAAATACAACAGCATTAATGCTGAACATTAATGCATTTGAAGAATTTATTTAGACTTGGAACAGAAATAGATTGTAATGTTTAGTGAGATGAGGTCAGATGCAAACAAACATTGTGCATCCTTGTGTATGAAACAAACCAAAAACAAACAACCAAACAACACCCCCCAAAATATTTATTATTACATTTAAATTGTTGCTATAAATAGTAGTTTTATTATTTAATGTTTGCAGGCTCTGTGTTGTTTAAGGCTGTGGTTCTCTTAGAGTAAACTCTGGGCAATCGTGGATGGTTGAAAAAAAAAATAACATAAAAAAACATAGCTAATTTCCATAATACCTCCCAACTCAATGATATCTGGTTCTCATTATAAGCCAAAACAGTGTGAATGTCCCTCACTTTTGGTAATCAGTGTTATGTGATTATTAGCTAACTGCGCCAAAACGTTCATAAACGCTGTGCATGTCGCAATATTTTGATATTTGATTATTCAGGTGAATCAATAAACTAATAACTGATTAATCAGGACCACCGGTGGTTCCAAGACGCACTTCATCATATTCTTCATAACTTTCATATTTCATAAGCCACATTGTAAAGGTGGGGGTCATATGAGGCTGAAACTGTCCTCTTTCCAGTCAAATAGATGGGTGATGTAATTTTAAACCCTTATAATAAAAGAAGCTGAACTCACAATTTTTTTGTCTACTGAAAGTCGACCCATTTTTCCACAAATCTGGGCTATAAACTATAAACAGATGGCGTCTCTTCAGCGATCTGCTCTGTAAAAATTAGTAGTAGCTACTAGCAGTAGTAGTAGTAGTAATTAGCAGCAGTAAATTGTAAGCATATAGCAATATGTGTGATCGTAAAACACATGTTTTGTTAATTTGAGGGGAGCTTTTACAAAAAAATAATAAAATTAAATAAAATATTTACAGTTATTTTATGCAGTTACTGAATA